TGGATTCGAACCAGGATCTCTAGTGGCACAGTTAGCACTGCGATGCAGTGCCTTAGACCACTGCGCCACTCAGGAGCTCACACTTACAGCTGTAATTGCTGCAAAAGGTGGCTCACACAAAAAATATTCTGCATCTTCAAAGTGGTAGGCATGTTGTGTAAATCAAATAATACAAACCCCCCAAAAATTCATATTAATTCCAGGTTGTAAGGCAACAAAATAGGAAAAATGCCAAGGGGGGTGAATACTTTCGCAAGCCACTGTACTTAGCTTGAACCTCAGAAAAACCTGGTTTTCTAATGTGTACCAGTTCATGAGGGTTGCCTAATCACATATATGAAATTATGGAAAGATGTGACATTTTTAACCCTTCGTAACAGCCCCTATGACCCCAATTGAAGGCACTTCCTGTTATTACAGGAAGCTGAAAGTAAACATATATCCTCCTTGGGACACGCTTTTACAGAATCCTGAGTTTCAAGTCTTTACGTTGAGAACTGACTGATATACAAAGGGTTGAATGCAGTGTTTTTCACTAACTGCAGGGAGTGAAATCAAAACCACGTTTAGGGTCAATTTAACCACTTCCGGTTGCTCCAGGAAGCTTAAAATCAACACAGGTTATCCTTGTAGTGGCCTGATGGGTTGTCATTGAAGACAGTTTGATATGCCAATCACAACCCACATTGGCATCAGGTTGAATTTAGGGCAACAGGCAATGTATTCCTATGGGGAGAGAGGTCAAGGTCAACTGTTAGAAGAATTACACCCTGTTTTCACTGTAAAGGGTTAATTCCACATGGTCAAGGGTAGGCTTGCACAGATCGGGAGGACCATAGGAACATTCCTGTGGTTGGATTGTGTTTCTAGCTTCAACGGTTCTGCCGCTGTCACCCAAAAGCACCTTAAATTTAGGTCAGGCTTCATTTTGGGCCTTGACCTAGGACCTCTCTGGATGTCAATATCTTGCCCCGACAATGTCAGAGAAAGATGCTCTTTGAATAAGTTGCTCTTTAGATGGCCCCCAACCATAATCTGGAAAAATATTAAATTCAGAATACCATAAATGGGTGAGGTGGCATCCTAGACTACAGTATTGGTCTTTACAAAGTTTGCTGCTTCAGTGTTTTTAGATATTTTTGTCAGATGTTACTATGGTATACTGAAGTATAATTACAAGCATTCCATAAGTGTCAAAGGCTTTTATTGACAATTACATTTAGTTTATGCAAAGAGTCAATATTTGCAGTGTTGACCCTTCTTTTTCAAGACCTCTGCAATCCGCCCTGGCATGCTGTCAATTAACTTCTGGGCCACATCCTGACTGATGGCAGCCCATTCTTGCATAATCAATGCTTGGAGTTTTCAGAATTTGTGGGTTTTTGTTTGTCCACCCGCCTCTTGAGGATCGACCACAAGTTCTCAATGGGATTAAGGTCTGGGGAGTTTCCTGGCCATGGACCCAAAATGTTGATGTTTTGTTCCCCGAGCCACTTAGTTATCACTTTTGCCTTATGGCAAGGTGCTCCATCATGCTGGAAAAGGCATTGTTCATCACCAAACTGTTGTTGGATGGTTGGGAGAAGTTGCTCTTGGAGGATGTGTTGGTACCATTCTTTATTCATGGCTGTGTTCTTAGGCAAAATTGTGAGTGAGCCCACTCCCTTGGCTGAGAAGCAACCCCACACATGAATGGTCTCAGGATGCTTTACTGTTGGCATGACACAGGACTGATGGTAGCGCTCACCTTGTTTTCTCCGGACAAGCTTTTTTCTGGATGCCCCAAACAATCGGAAATGACCCCAGTCCTCAGCTGTCCAATCCCTGTACCTTTTGCAGAATATCAGTCTGTCCCTGATGTTTTTCCTGGAGAGAAGTGGCTTCCTCGCTGCCCTTCTTGACACCAGGCCATCCTCCAAAAGTCTTCGCCTCACTGTGCGTGCAGATGCATTAACACCTGCCTGCTGCCATTCCTGAGCAAGCTCTGCACTGGTGGTGCCCCGATCCCGCAGCTGAATCAACTTTAGGAGACGGTCAGGCGCTTGCTGGACTTTCTTGGGCGCCCTGAAGCCTTCTTCACAACAATTGAATCAAATCGAATCCAATTTTATTTGCCACATGCCTTTTGGACCTAGACTTGGCAATTCATCTGATCACTCTTCATAACATTCTGGAGTATATGCAAATTGCTATCATAAAAACTGAGGCAGCAGACTTTGTGAAAATTAATATTTGTGTCATTCTCAAAACTTTTGACCACAACTGTACACATGGATACATACCACTACCTAGATTGAATTTGTAAAGGTTCCCAAAAGGGCAAAGAAAATGGAGAAAAACCTGGTTTTCTAATAAGTTTTCACTTTTAAGGGTTAAACCAATCCCAAAAAACATGAATTATTTAGCACTGTTATTCAGTATAACATGACATGATATTTAGCATTAAACATTAACTGATTACTAGAGTAGGCTGAATTTAATAATAAAATTGAGCATATTAAACTGATTAAAAAGGCTGATTTTAGCGACCTTCTTGCTTTGTCAGTTGCAGTCAGTGACACACAGCATATGCACATATGGATGTTGACAATCACAACAAATCCCTGAGCCAGCTTCTACAGTCCAATCAGAAAAATCAAGATGTTCTCTGCCATCCAATGAGAAAATACTGCAGTACTATATGTTCCCTATAGAGGGCGCTTGATGTTCTCGGCCATCCAATGATACAATATTGCAGTACTGTGTGTCCCCCATAGGGGGCCTACAAATATACTGCCTTATTAGGACCATGACAGTTTTACTTGATTTTCAAACCAGGCATATTAGCATGCTATTTCCAGGCTATTCCAGTGGTTTGCCTTGTGAGGACCAACTTGTCCAAAGGTCCTAATATGAAAGGTGTTTATGCAAGTTGTGGTCCCAATACAATCTCAAATACAAGAACAGAAACACACACACACACACACACACACACACACACACACACACAGAAACACACACACACACACCACACACACACACACAACACACAGAGAGAAACACACACACAGAAACACACACACACACACACACAGAAACACACACACAGAAACACACACACAGAAACACACACACAGAAACACACACACAGAAAACACACACACAGAAACACACACACAGAAACACACACACAGAAACACACACACACACACACAGAAACACACACACACACAGAAACACACACACACACAGAAACACACACACAGAAACACACACACAGAAACACACAGAAACACCACACACAGAAACACACACACAGAAACACACACACAGAAACACACACAGAAACACACACACACACAGAGAAACACACACACAGAAACACACACACAGAAACACACACACAGAACACACACAGAAACCACACACACACAGATAAACACACACCACAGAAACACACACACATAAACACACACATAAACACACACACAGAAACACAAAACACACAGAAACACACACACACACACACAAACACACAAACACACCAAACACACACCCACCACACACATATAAACACACACACAGAAAACAAACACACAAAAACACACACACAGAACACACACACACACACACAAAAACACACACACAATACACACATACATAAACACACACACATAAACACACACACATATAAACACACACACATATAAACACACACACAGAAACACACACACAGAAACACACACACAGAAACACACACACACAGAAACACACACACACAGAGAAACACACACACAGAAACATAAACACAGAAACACACACAGAAACACTGAAGCTGGCTTTATTACATCATTTTCAGTTTACAACAAATGCATTTTCAGTGTGCTTTGTGTGTGTGTGATTCTGTGTGTGTGTTTCTGTGTGTGTGTGTGTGTGTGCGTGTGTTTCTGTGTGTGTGTTTCTGTGTGTGTGTGTGTGTGTGTGTGTGTTTCTGTGTGTGTGTTTCTGTGTGTGTGTGTGTGTGTTTCTGTGTGTGTTTCTGTGTGTGTGTTTCTGTGTGTGTTTCTGTGTGTGTGTTTCTGTGTGTGTGTGTGTGTGTATTTCTGTGTGTGTGTTTCTGTGTGTGTGTGTGTGTGTTTCTGTGTGTGTGAGTGTGTTTCTGTGTGTGTGTGTGTTTCTGTGTGTGTGTGTGTGTGTGTGTGTGTTTCTGTGTGTGTGTTTCTGTGTGTGTGTGTGTGTGTGTGTGTGTGTTTCTGTGTGTGTGTTTCTGTGTGTGTGTTTCTGTGTGTGTGTGTGTGTGTGTGTGTGTGTGTGTGTGTCTAAATGATTGTCTGATCTAGAATAATAATAGATAAGAGACACTTTCACTGAAATTAAAAACAAAATAACACCCTTAAGACTGTTTGAAAATTTAAGACTTTTTAAGTTGAAGACTTATTAAACTCAAGACTGTTTGAAAATGTAAGACTTTTCAAGTTGAATACTTTTTAAACTTAAGACTGTTTGAAAAACCTAAGACATTTTAAGTTGAAGACTTTTAAACTTAAGAATGTTTGAAAAACCTAAGACATTTTAAGTTGAAGACTTTTTAAACTTAAGACTGTTTGAAAAGTAGAGACTGTTTTGCGAGACAGAGAGGGATCTCTTCTAGAAACACAATGCAAAGAATCAACGACAAATAAATGGACCTACAGTTGTAACATCTTGAACATTCAATATCAGATCACTGATATCAGGGGCTTTGGTTGTTTGCACTTATCTAGTTAATGGTGGAATCTGTAATTTAACTAATTTAAAAGATTCAACAATCTGGAGTGCCTTGTGTCTTGTGGATGAGCTAGAAGTCCAAGTTCTGCTATTTTGCTAAAGCCTGGAAAACCGCAGAGCACCATATGACTTTAATTCAAATCCCAGAGAACACCTTTTTGTTTCTTTTTCATAACTGAAAAGATTCTTACGGATTGCAGCTTTAACAGCTAGTTAAAAAATAGCTCATTAGCTCTAACGAACTGGTTAGCTGATTAGCAAACCCAGCGGATGAAACGTTCGAAGAAGGTGGGTTTCCCCAGCGTGGCGTAGTCCTCCCCTCTAAAGATGGCCAACGTGTCTCCCAGGGCAACCTTCCTCAGCACTTCCTGGTCCGTGTCGGTCCCCATGGCGATCACCGTGGGAATGCCCTCGGCCCGCCGCATGGCTGAGACGCCCTCCTCCAGGCTGTTGCCCGCAGTGATGCCGTCAGTGATGAAGACGAAGGACAGTTCAGCGTTACGACGTGCCAGGCGGGTGCCCTGTGGACCACACAGAGAGACAGTACAGTTATACAGCGTTAGGAGTATTGAAAACAGGGGAGTGTGCTAGAGTATTGAAAACAGGGTGGCAATAATTTTGACCCCTATCTTAACTAGATATATTTTTTAGAATACAATATAGCTCAGTATTTGTATTATTTATTTTATACAGTTTTTTTGCTCAACTTTATCAAGGGTGCCAATAATTATGGACCTGAATGTACCTGTGACATCACTAGGTTATTGACAGCGTGTATGATCGCGCTGCCCAGAGAAGAGGCGGAGTCCATGTAGCTCATCCCCGCCAGCGAATCAGCGATCACCGTCAGATTGTGCGTGAGCGAGAACTCCACCCTCTGTTCTGATTGGCCGCCGTACTGCAGCAGGGCCACGCGGGCATTCCTGTCGTCTGATTCGCCGTTGGCCAGGGTGAGGCGGCGAGCCACGTTCTCGATGAACTCCTTGGCGCGGCGGTGGTTCTCCACTCCCATCCTCTCTGACCCGTCCAGCATGAACACAAGGTCCACGGGGCGCTGAACACAGCTGGCCACTGCTGGCTCTGAAACACACATACACAAACACACGTTGAAGGGACACACACACACACATGTTGAAGGGACACACACACACACGTTGAAGGGACACACACAGACGTTGAAGATACACACACACACACGTTGAAGGGACACACACACATGTTGAAGGGACACACACACACACGTTGAAGGGACACACACAGACGTTGAAGATACACACACACACACGTTGAAGGGACAACACACACACGTTGAAGGGACACACACACACGTTAGGGACCACACACATGTTGAAGGGACACACACACACACGTTGAAGGGACACACACACACGTTGAAGGGGACACACACACACACACGTTGAAGGGACACACACACACACACGTTGAAGGGGACACACACACACACACGTTGAAGATACACACACACACACGTTGAAGGGACACACACACACGTTGAAGGGACACACACACACACGTTGAAGGGACCACACACACGTTGAAGGGACACACACAGACGTTGAAGGGACACACACACACACGTTGAAGGGTCACACACACACGATGAAGGGACACACACACATGTTGAAGGGACACACACACACACACACGTTGAAGGGACACACACACACGTTGAAGGGACACACACACACACGTTGAAGGGACACACACAGACGTTGAAGGGGAGACACACACACGTTGAAGAGACACACACACACACGTTGAAGGGACACACACACACACGTTGAAGGGACACACACACACGTTGAAGGGTCACACACACACGTTGAAGGGACACACACACACGTTGAAGGGACACACACACACACACGTTGAAGGGACACACACACACACGTTGAAGGGACACACACACACGTTGAAGGGACACACACACACGTTGAAGGACACACACACACGTTGAAGGGACACACACACACGTTGAAGGACACACACACACGTTGAAGGGACACACACACACACACCGTTGAAGGGACACACACACACACACCGTTGAAGGGAACACACAGCACACACAGTTGAAGGGACACACACACACGTTGAAGGGACACACACACACGTTGAAGGGACACACACACACGTTGAAGGGACACACACACACGTTGAAGGGACACACACACACGTTGAAGGGACACACACACACGTTGAAGAGACACCCACAAACACCACACGTTGAAGGGACACACACACACACACGTTGAAGGGACACACACACACGTTGAAGGGACACACACACACACGTTGAAGGGACACACACACACACGTTGAAGGGACACACACACACGTTGAAGGGACACACACACACACGTTGAAGGGACACACACACACGTTGAAGGGACACACACACAACACACAACGTTGAAGGGACACACACACACGTTGAAGGGACACACACACACGTTGAAGGGACACACACACACAACAACACGTTGAAGGGACACACACACAACAACCACGTTGAAGGGACACACACACACGTTGAAGGGACACACACACACACACGTTGAAGGGACACACACACACGTTGAAGGGACACAACACACACGTTGAAGGGACACACACACACGTTGAAGGACACACACACACGTTGAAAGGACACACACACACAACGTTGAAGGGACACCCACACAAACACACGTTGAAGGGACCCACACCACACACACACGTTGAAGGGACACACACACACGTTGAAGGGACACACACACACACGTTGAAGGGACACACACACACGTTGAAGGGACACACACACACGTTGAAGGGACACACACACACGTTGAAGAGACACACACACACGTTGAAGGGACACACACACACGTTGAAGGGACACACACACACGTTGAAGGGACACACACACACGTTGAAGGGACACACACACACACGTTGAAGGGACACACACACACGTTGAAGGGACACACACACACACGTTGAAGGGACAACAGGCACACACACGTTGAAGGGACACACACACACGTTGAAGGGACACACACACCATGTTGAAGGGACACACACACACACGTTGAAGGGACACACACACACACTTGAAGGGACACACACACACGTTGAAGGGACACACACACACACGTTGAAGGGACACACACACACACGTTGAAGGGACACACACACACACGTTGAAGGGACACACACACACGTTGAAGGGACACACACACACGTTGAAGGGACACACACACACACGTTGAAGGGACACACACACACGTTGAAGGGACACACACACACGTTGAAGGGACACACACAGACGTTGAAGGGACACACACACACACGTTGAAGGGTCACACACACACATGAAGGGACACACACACATGTTTGAAGGGACACACACCAACACACACACACGTTGAAGGGACACACACACACACGTTGAAGGGACACACACACACACACGTTGAAGGGACACACACACACACGTTGAAGGGACACACACACACACGTTGAAGGGACACACACACGTGAGGACACACCACACATTGAAGGGACACACACGACACACACCGTTGAAGGGACACACACACACACGTTGAAGGGACACAAACACACGTTGAAGGGACACACACACACGTTGAAGGGACACACACACCACACGTTGAAGGGACACACACACACACGTTGAAGGGACACACACACAACACCCGTTGAAGGGACACACACACACGTTGAAGGGACACACACACACGTTGAAGGGACACACACACACAGACGTTTGAAGGGACACACACACACACACGTTGAAGGGTCACACACACACACGTTGAAGGGACACACACACACGTTGAAGGGTCACACACACACACACGTTGAAGGGACACACACACACGTTGAAGGGACACACACACACGTTGAAGGGACACACACACACGTTGAAGGGACACCACACACACGTTGAAGGGTTCACACACACACACGTTGAAGGGACACACACACACACGTTGAAGGGACCACACACAACACGTTGAAGGGACACACACACCACGTTGAAGGGACAACACACACACGTTGAAGAGACACACACACACACGTTGAAGGGACACACACACACACACGTTGAAGGGACACACCACACACACGTTGAAGGGACACACACACACGTTGGAAGGGACACACACACACACGTTGAAGGGACACACACACACGTTGAAGGGACACACACACGTTGAAGGGACACACACACGTTGAAGGGACACACACACACGTTTGAAGAGACACACACACAACGTTGAAGGGACACACACACACGTTGAAGAGACACACACACACACGTTGAAGGGACACACACACACACACGTTGAAGGGACACACACACACACGTTGAAGGGACACACACAGACGTTGAAGGGACACACACACACGTTGAAGGGACACACACACACACGTTGAAGGGACACACACACACGTTGAAGGGACACACACACATGTTGAAGGGACACACACACACACGTTGAAGGGACACACACACACGTTGAAGGGACACACACACATGTTGAAGGGACACACACACACACGTTGAAGGGACACACACACACGTTGAAGGGACACACACACACTTGAAGGGACACACACACAGTTGAAGGGACACACACACACACACACACGTTGAAGGGACACACACACACACGTTGAAGGGACACACACACACGTTGAAGGGACACACACACACGTTGAAGGGACACACACACACACACGTTGAAGGGACACACACACACACATTGAAGGGACACACACACACACGTTGAAGGGACACACACACACACGTTGAAGGGACACACACACACGTTGAAGGGACACACACACACGTTGAAGGGACACACACTCAGACGTTGAAGGGACACACACACACATTGAAGGGTCACACACACACACACGTTGAAGGGACACACACACACGTTGAAGGGACACACACACACACGTTGAAGGGACACACACACACGTTGAAGGGACACACACACATGTTGAAGGGACACACACACACGTTGAAGGGTCACACACACACACGTTGAAGGGACACACACACACGTTGAAGGGACACACACACACACGTTGAAGGGACACACACACACACGTTGAAGGGACACACACACACACACGTTGAAGGGACACACACACACACGTTGAAGGGACACACACACACGTTGAAGGGACACACACACACACACGTTGAAGGGACACACACACACGTTGAAGGGACACACACACACACGTTGAAGGGACACACACACACACATTGAAGGGACACACACACACGTTGAAGGGACACACACACACACGTTGAAAGGGACACACACACACACATTGAAGGGACACACACACACGTTGAAGGGACACACACACACGTTGAAGGGACACACACACACGTTGAAGGGACACACACACACGTTGAAGGGGCACACACATATTGGAATGACACACTGTGCTGCTACCAGAGATGAGAGGATAGGCTTATACATATATATATATATATACATGTCTGGTTTACAGCTTTAAAATCCTTTCAAGGTTAAACCTTTACGTGTATTTTCATGCTGTTATATTATGTATCTGCCAGTTCTAACTGTTATATTATGTATCTGCCAGTTCAAACTGTTATATTATGTATCTGCCAGTTCTAACTGTTATATTATGTATCTGCCAGTTCTAACTGTTATATTATGTATCTGCCAGTTCTAACTGTTATATCATGTATCTGCCAGTTCTAACTGTTATATTATGTATCTGCCAGTTCTAACTGTTGTATTATGTATCTGCCAGTTCTAACTGTTATATTATGTATCTGCCAGTTCTAACTGTTATATTATGTATCTGCCAGTTCTAACTGTTATATTATGTATCTGCCAGTTCTAACTGTTATATTATGTATCTGCCAGTTCTAACTGTTATATTATGTATCTGCCAGTTCTAACTGTTATATTATGTATCTGCCAGTTCTAACTGTTATATCATGTATCTGCCAGTTCTAACTGTTATATTATGTATCTGCCAGTTCTAACGGTTATATTATGTATCTGCCAGTTCTAACTGTTATATTATGTATCTGCCAGTTCTAACTGTTATATTATGTATCTGCCAGTTCTAACTGTTATATTATGTATCTGCCAGTTCTAACTGTTGTATTATGTATCTGCCAGTTCTAACTGTTATTGTATGTATCTGCCAGTTCTAACTGTTATATTATGTATCTGCCAGTTCTAACTGTTATATTATGTATCTGCCAGTTCTAACTGTTATATTATGTATCTGCCAGTTCTAACTGTTATATTATGTATCTGCCAGTTCTAACTGTTATATTATGTATCTGCCAGTTCTAACTGTTATATTAAACTGCCCAGCAGGCTGGCCACGCCCCCCACCGAGCAGGAGAATAGTGGGCGATGAAAAGTGACGAATCAACATCCCCAATGGTCACTTTCCAATATGGCCGCCGGTACACCCACCAAGCACGTTGCTTAATTGTTCTTCCATTCCAATCTGTGAATTCCCGTTCTACCTTTCTAGCTTGTTAATTCTTTAAATCTCTGGTTTAATTATCATTGTTCAGCCTCAGGGTGATGGGCTGTCATGTTAATGTAAAGATTTAAATGTTTTCCACGTCAAAGCGCATTTGGTTATTTTTTGCCAATCGAGGCAGTACGGAGAACGAGTTAAGGTTAGTTAAGGTTAGTTAAGGTTAGTTAAGGGACATCAGAATTAAAATCTTTAAATCTCAATAATCAGAATGATCTTACCAGTTTTACAGGGAAGGTCAGGGCACACGATCACAGGGTCTGAGAGAGAGAAGTTATTGATCATGAAGTTATTGATCATGAAGTTATTGATCATGAAGTTATTGATCATTTATCTCTGTTATACAAGTACTATGTGTACGAGAGAGAGAGAGAGAGAGAGAGAGAGAGAGAGAGGATTTAAGTGTGTGTGTGTGTGTGTGTGTGTGTGTGTACTGTATGTCGGGTTTAGGTGTGTGTGTGTGTACCTGGGCAGAGCACGGCCTCTATCTTGTCGATGAACTCCTCCGCCACCAGATCAGCGAAGCGTCTCATCCCCAGCACCCTCCCGTCTCTCTGACAGGCTATACTCTTCAGACTCTCATTCTCCTCTATCTGGTCAAACATGTCTCCTATACCGATGGCACTCACATCCACACTGGGGTCACTGCTCACACACTCACACACACACACACACACACACACACACACACACACACACACACACACACACACACACACACACACACACACACACACACACACACACACACACACACACACACAGAGAGACACACACAGACACAGAGACACACACACACACACACACACACACACACACACACAGAGAGACACACACAGACACAGAGACACACACACACACACACACACACACACACACACACACACACAGAGACACACACACAGATCATCAGATAGGTGGCACACACAGCTGATAAAACATGTGTCCCCACTCGATACGCATACACACACACACACACACACACACACACACACACACACACACACACACACACACACACACACACACACACACACACACACACACACACACACACACACACACACACACACACAGCTCCATCTCCCCGGTCTGGTACCTGCAGAGGTATGTGAGCAGTGAGTCGTCGTCCCTGGGGTCGAACCGTCCGTCTGTGATGACCACCACGGTGACGTTGGCTTTAGCTCGGCGGCTGTCCTTGATCAGGTGGTCGTAGGCGTACTTCAGCGCTGACGGGGTCCACGTACCGCCGGCTATCCACTCCAGACGCTTCACTGCATCCTGAAGACAGACAGACAGGCATAGGGTGGGAGGGTGTTAGCCCACTGAGCTAAAGCCTAGTCATTAGCTTGGGGAGTTAATGCAAGTCTTCAGGTCAGAGTGTGGGAGGGTGTGTGTGTGTTTATGTCTCAGTCTGGGTTCGAAGGTCAAAATCTGGTGATCCTGCACACCAAAAGACTGTGCAGCCCGCTGAGCTAAAGCCTAGGTATTAGCACAGGGAGCTAATACAAGTCTTCAGGTGTCAGGTAATGTTAGACGCGTGTTGCCCCACTACCTTGAAGGCAGACATATTATTGTTATATAGTTTATTATTATTATTATCAATAATTAGGTCTGTGTGGGACTGATTTCTTCATCCCGCTCCTGCTCGCACCTGCAGCTTTTCATACCGCACCCAAACACACCCACTGGCTTTCTGTCCGACCCGTTAACGCAAGAACTGGTCCCAACCCGACAATGTTATTTTAGGCTATGCGACGCAGCTCCCTTGCCAGCCATGGTCCCAGCCATGGTCCCAGCCAGGGTCCCAGCCATGGTCCCAGCCATGGTCCCAGCCAGGGTCCCAGCCATGGTCCCAGCCAGGGTCCCAGCCATGGTCCCAGCCAGGGTCCCAGCCATGGTCCCGGCAATGGTCCCGGCAATGGTCCCGGCAATGGTCCCGGCAATTCTGTGCCCAAATTAACCTAAGAAATAGGTTAAATTACCAGAGATTCTCACGTGGCCCATTGTAATATATATTAGGCCTTCGGTACTATAAGTAGTTTGAAGAGAGCAGTTGGAGAGACTTTCTCTTGAGCAATTTTTATAGCCTACGTTTTAGGAGTGGGTCAATTTTCAGACTGAGACAAATGTGGGTGATCAATATTTATTTCTAGGCAATGTACTGTAGTAAACTATAGCCTAATAATATTTAGGAAGTACATTTCCTTGGAAAGATAACTGCCCGTGCTTCTCCGCCCATGCATAGGCTATAATCTATTTAATTGAGACCACGTACACCTGATCTCGCAGCTATGGCTACTGAACTGGAAGCAGCAAGAATGAAGCCAGCGGACACTCTCACTTTCTCTTGAGCTACGCTTTGCATATAGGATATAGCCTACCTTTTATTAGGACGATTATCATACAGGATATAGTCTACCTTTTAGGAGGACGATTATCATATAGGATATAGCCTACCTTTTAGGAGGACGATTATCATATAGGATATAGCCTACCTTTTAGGAGGACGATTATCATATAGGATATAGCCTACCTTTTATTAGGACGATTATCATACAGGATATAGTCTACCTTTTAGGAGGACGATTATCATATAGGATATAGCCTACCTTTTAGGAGGACGATTATCATATAGGATATAGCCTACCTTTTAGGACGATTATCATATAGGATATAGCCTACCTTTTAGGAGGACGATTATCATATAGGATATAGCCTACCTTTTAGGAGGACGATTATCATATAGGATATAGCCTACCTTTTAGGAGGACGATTATCATATAGGATATAGCCTACCTTTTAGGACGATTATCATATAGGATATAGCCTACCTTTTAGGACGATTATCATATAGGATATAGCCTACCTTTTAGGAGGACGATTATCATATAGGATATAGCCTACCTTTTAGGAGGACGATTATCATATAGGATATAGCCTACCTTTTAGGACGATTATCATATAGGATATAGCCTACCTTTTAGGACGATTATCATATAGGATATAGCCTACCTTTTAGGACGATTATCATATAGGATATAGCCTACCTTTTAGGACGATTATCATATAGGATATAGCCTACCTTTTAGGAGGACGATTATCATATAGGATATAGCCTACCTTTTAGGACGATTATCATATAGGATATAGCCTACCTTTTAGGAGGACGATTAGCATATAGGATATAGCCTACCTTTTATTAGGACGATTATCATACAGGATATAGTCTACCTTTTAGGAGGACGATTATCATATAGGATATAGCCTACCTTTTAGGAGGACGATTATCATATAGGATATAGCCTACCTTTTAGGACGATTATCATATAGGATATAGCCTACCTTTTAGGAGGACGATTATCATATAGGATATAGCCTACCTTTTAGGAGGACGATTATCATATAGGATATAGCCTACCTTTTAGGAGGACGATTATCATATAGGATATAGCCTACCTTTTAGGAGGACGATTATCATATAGGATATAGCCTACCTTTTAGGAGGACGATTATCATATAGGATATAGCCTACCTTTTAGGAGGACGATTATCATATAGGATATAGCCTACCTTTTATTAGGAGGACGATTATCATATAGGATATAGCCTACCTTTTATTAGGACGATTAGCATATAGGATATAGCCTACCTTTTATTAGGACGATTATCATATAGGATATAGCCTACCTTTTAGGAGGACGATTATCATATAGGATATAGCCTACCTTTTAGGAGGACGATTATCATATAGGATATAGCCTACCTTTTAGGAGGACGATTATCATATAGGATATAGCCTACCTTTTATTAGGAGGACGATTATCATATAGGATATAGCCTACCTTTTATTAGGACGATTATCATATAGGATATAGCCTACCTTTTATTAGGACGATTATCATATAGGATATAACCTACCTTCTAGGAGGACGATTAGCATATAGGATATAGCCTACCTTCTAGGAGGACGATTAGCATATAGGATATAGCCTACCTTCTAGGAGGACGATTAGCATATAGGATATAGCCTACCTTCTAGGAGGACGATTAGCATATAGGATATAGCCTACCTTTTAGGACGATTTGCAGGCATGGACAAATAAATGTGTAATCAATATTTATTAAAAAGTAAAAGGCGAAACGCTCACCATGGTAGCCTGTCCACGCGTTTTCCTTTTCAATTATGATAAAACATTTTGATTGCACCTCGACTCACATTGGTTGAGCACCCTCCACTTCTTTCCATTATCAACATGTACAGTTGAAGTCCGAAGTTTACATACACCTTAGCCAAATACATTTAAACTCAGTTTTTCACAATTCCTGACATTTAATCCTAGTAAATATTCCCTGTTTTAGGTCAGTTAGGATCACCACTTTATTTTAAGAATGTGAAATGTCAGAAGAGAGAATGATTTATTTCAGCTTTTATTTCTTTCATCACATTCCCAGTGGGTCAGAAGTTTACAGACACTCAATTGGTATTTGGTAGCATTGCCTTTAAATTGTTTAACTTAGGTCAAACGTTTCGGGTAGCCTTCCACAAGCTTCCCACAATAAGTTGGGTGAATTTTGGCCCATTCCTCCTGACAGAGCTGGTGTAACTGAGTCAGGTTTGTAGGCCTCCTTGCTCGCACACGCTTTTTCAGTTCTGCCCACACATTTTCTATAGGATTGATGTCAGGGCTTTGTGATGGCCACTCCAATACCTTGACTTTGTTGTCCTTTTGCCACAACTTTGGAAGTATGCTTGGGGTCATTGTCCATTTGGAAGACCCATTTGCGACCAAGCTTTAACTTCCTGACTGATGTCTTGAGATGTTGCTTCAATATATCCACATATTTTTCCTTCCTCATGATGCCATCTATTTTGTGAAGTGCACCAGTCCCACCTGCAGCAAAGCACCCTCACAGCATGATGCTGCCACCCCCGTGCTTCACGGTTGGGATGGTGTTCTTTGGCTTGCAAGCCCCCCCTTTTTCCTCCAAACATAACGATGGTCATTATGGCCAAACAGTTCAATTTTTGTTTCATCAGACCAGAGGACATTTCTCCAAAAAGTATGACCTTTGTCCCCATGTGCAGTTGCAGACCGTAGTCTGGCATTTTTATGGCGGTTTTGGAGCAGTGGCTTCTTCCTTGCAGAGCGGCCTTTCAGGTTATGTCGGTATAGGACTAGTTTTACTGTGGATATAGATACTTTTGTACCTGTTTCCTCCAGCATCTTCACAAGGTCCTTTGCTGTTGTTCTGGGATTGATTTGCACTTTTCGCACCAAAGTACGTTCATCTCTAGGAGACAGAACGCATCTCCTTCCTGAGCGGTATGACGGCTGCGTGGTCCCATGGTGTTTATACTTGCGTACTATTGTTTGTACAGATGAACGTGGTACCTTCAGGCGTTTGGAAATTGCTCCCAAGGATGAACCAGACTTGTGGAGGTCTACAATTTTTTTTCTGAGGTCTTGGCTGATTTCTTTTGATTTTCCCATGATGTCAAGCAAAGAGGCACTGAGTTTGAAGGTAGGCCTTGAAATACATCCACAGGTACACCTCCAATTGACTCAAATGATGTCAATTAGCCTATCAGAAGCTTCTAAAGCCATGACATCATTTTCTGGCATTTTCCAAGCTGTTTAAAGGCACAGTCAACTTAGTGTATATAAACTTCTGACCCACTGGAATTGTGATACAGTGAAATATAAGTGAAATAATCTGTCTGTAAACAATTGTTGGAAAAATTACTTGTGTCATGCACAAAGTACATGTCCTAACCGACTTTCCAAAACTATAGTTTGCTAAAAGAAATTTGTGGAGTGGTTGAAAAACGAGTTTTAATGACTCCAACCTAAGTGTATGTAAACTTCCGACTTCAACTGCATTTACAGACACTGTAGTAAACTATAGTCTAATCATATTTAAGTAAATTTCCTTGGAAAGAGAACTGCCAGTGATTCTCCGTCCCTGCATAGGCAGGCTACTCTATTTCAGTGAGACCAGACAGGTACTAGGCTTGATCTCCCACGCCCAACGAGGAGAGGAGAGGTCGGCTACTGAAGTCGAAGCAGCAAATGCTGAGTGTGAATAATGTGACAAAAGGTGTGCTTTTAATACAAAAGGTAAAGGCTCATCCAAAGCAGAAAGATGACCGTTTCCAAATTATCTGCGGGAAAACAAAAATATTTTGACCGCCCCCCCCCCCCCCCCCCCCCCCCCCCCCCCCCCCCCGCAGCATGAAAAATACAGACTGTGCTGTAACCATCTCTGTCGGACCCACAGGGAATGCAGCCCTCTACACTGAAGCTGTCGGACCCACAGGGAATGCAGCCCTCTACACTGAAGCTGTCGGACCCACAGGGAATGCAGCCCTCTACACTGAAGCTGTCGGACCCACAGGGAATGCAGCCCTCTACACTGAAGCTGTCGGACCCACAGGGAATGCAGCCCTCTACACTGAAGCTGTCGGACCCACAGGGAATGCAGCCCTCTACACTGAAGCTGTCGGACCCACAGGGAATGCAGCCCTCTACACTGAAGCTGTCGGACCCACAGGGAATGCAGCCCTCTACACTGAAGCTGTCGGACCCACAGGGAATGCAGCCCTCTACACTGAAGCTGTCGGACCCACAGGGAATGCAGCCCTCTACACTGAAGCTGTCGGACCCACAGGGAATGCAGCCCTCTACACTGAAGCTGTCGGACCCACAGGGAATGCAGCCCTCTACACTGAAGCTGTCGGACCCACAGGGAATGCAGCCCTCTACACTGAAGCTGTCGGACCCACAGGGAATGCAGCCCTCTACACTGAAGCTGTCGGACCCACAGGGAATGCAGCCCTCTACACTGAAGCTGTCGGACCTACAGGGAATGCAGCCCTCTACACTGAAGCTGTCGGACCCACAGGGAATGCAGCCCTCTACACTGAAGCTGTCGGACCCACAGGGAATGCAGCCCTCTACACTGAAGCTGTCGGACCCACAGGGAATGCAGCCCTCTACACTGAAGCTGTCGGACCCACAGGGAATGCAGCCCTCTACACTGAAGCTGTCGGACCCACAGGGATTGCAGCCCTCTACACTGAAGCCCCGAATTCACATACCTTGAAGGCAGACAGGGAGTCGATCTTGGAGTCATTGAGCCGGATGGCCTGGAAGGTTCCGCTATGACTGTACTGGACCACGCCCACTCTGGTCCCTGGGGGAGAGGGGGGAGGGGGGGGACACTTAACATTCTACAGAATCGGTACTACACGGAGAAGTTACCTGGGTGTAAAAAAATAGTTTTGAGTGATCAGCGTGCGTATGTGTGTGTGTGTGTGTGTGTGTGTGTGTGTGTGTGTGTGTGTGTACCTGTCTCTGAGTTGGGGTCCTTGGCCATAGAGTGTGTGTGTGTGTGTGTGTGTGTGTGTACCTGTCTCTGAGTTGGGGTCCTTGGCCATAGAGTGTGTGTGTGTGTGTGTGTGTGTACCTGTCTCTGAGTTGGGGTCCTTGGCCATAGAGTGTGTGTGTGTGTGTGTGTGTGTGTACCTGTCTCTGAGTTGGGGTCCTTGGCCATAGAGTGTGTGTGTGTGTACCTGTCTCTGAGTTGGGGTCCTTGGCCATAGAGTGTGTGTGTGTGTGTGTGTGTGTGTGTGTGTGTGTGTGTGTGTGTGTGTGTGTGTGTGTACCTGTCTCTGAGTTGGGGTCCTTGGCCATAGATCCCAGTCTGTTGATGGTGTTGATGACAAAGTTCTTCTCCAGGGTGAAGTTGGTCAGACCCACCGACTCTGAGCTGTCAATCACGAACACGATGTCCAGCGCCCCACACCGCTTCTCACAGTCTGCATGGACGACAGGGTTACAGGGGTTAATGGTGCTTAGCGAGTAACACTTCTTCTTTGTTCGCCTCTGAACACCTCCAAAACAAAGGTCATGTGGTTTGGTTAGAAGAATGCCCCTCTCCCCACCGGTGTGATTACTACCTCTGAGGGTTTAGAGCTTACAGTTTACAGTACATGCAGTATATATTGAGATTAGATGTTTAACCACAGTACATGCAGTATATATAGAGATTAGATGTTTAACCACAGTACATACAGTATATATTGAGATTAGATGTTTAACCACAGTACATACAGTATATATTGAGATTAGATGTTTAACCACAGTACATACAGTATATATTGAGATTAGATGTTTAACCACAGTACATGCAGTATATATTGAGATTAGATGTTTAACCACAGTACATACAGTATATATAGAGATTAGATGTTTAACCACAGTACATACAGTATATATTGAGATTAGATGTTTAACCACAGTACATGCAGTATATATTGAGATTAGATGTTTAACCACAGTACATGCAGTATATATTGAGATTAGATGTTTAACCACAGTACATGCAGTATATATTGAGATAAGATGTTTAACTCCAGTACATGCAGTATATATTGATACAAGATGTTTAACTACAGTACATGCAGTATATATACACACTTCCCACAGGGATAATGTATGCACTAACTGTAAGTCGCTCTGGATAAGAGCGTCTGCTAAATGACTAAAATGTAAAAAAAATGTAAAATGTAATGTAACCCTTTATGGTTCAATTTGAGGGTTTTACACTCCAAATAGCTTTTGTTGGTATACACTAACTACTATACTGATTGAATAGCCTCAGTTTATATGCACTATTTATTTGTCTATTTTGTCTATGAGAGGTAATAGGGGAATGTGCAGATGTATGGACACAGCTTTTTGAACTTGAGGCCTTTATTTTTTGGAATGTGAAAAATACTTAATACTACAATGCACCTGTAATGTGACTTGATAATTAACTTTGACAACAAACAGAAAAGAAGACAAAACATGAAAAAAAGAAAACGAGTGAATCGTTGAAATCATCTTGGAGAAGGCCGATACTGCACTACCAACTGTTGTCTTTAGTTGGTAGAGCGTGGCGTTTGCAACGCCAGGGTTGTGGGTTCGATTCCCACAGGGGGGGGGGCAGTATGAAAAAATAAAAAAATTATGTATGCACTCACTAACTGTAAGTCACTCTGGATAAGAGCGTCTGCTAAATGACTAAAATGTAAAATGTAGTCCGTCTCATCATTCCACCCTGTTAATTCAGGGCTATTACCTGCTGACCACGTCGCAGTCTGAGGCATGTACCCCCTGGCTGAGGAGGACATTCCCCATGTGCTGCACCTGCCTGCATGTTCTGTGTTGTGTGTGTGTCTGAATAACTCACCACAGCAGCCGCAGGTCTCTCTGATGTAGTTCATGACATCACATTCCTACAACGAAAACATCACATGACATCACATGACCTTTCTCTGAGAGGGATGATAAAAGAGTGATAGAGTGATGGAGTGATGGAGTGATGGAGAGATGGAGAGATGGAGAGATGGAGAGATGGAGAGATGGAGGGATGGAGGGACGGAGGGATGGAGGGATGGAGGGACGGAGTGATGGAGTGATGGAGGGACGGAGTAATAATAATAATAATAATATGCCATTTAGCAGACGCTTTTATCCAAAGCGACTTACAGTCATGCGTGCATACATTTTTGTGTATGGGTGGTCCCGGGGATCGAACCCACTACCTTGGCGTTACAAGCGCCGTGCTCTACCAGCTGAGCTACAGAGGACCACAGTGATGGAGGGATGAAGAGATGATAATAGAGTGGTAAAGAGATGATAATAGAGTGGTAAAGAGATGATAATAGAGTGGTAAAGAGATGATAATAGAGTGGTAAAGAGATGATAATAGAGTGGTAAAGAGATGATAATAGAGTGGTTCTTACTGTGAGGCCAGGGTCTCCCTCAGGACCTTGATCTCCCTGTAGAGAGAAAGAGATGCTTTCATACACAGATTACAACACACACACAGTGTGGAAGTACTGTCTGTGTGAGTGCTACTGTTTAGGTACTGCAGGTGTCTGTGTGTGTGGTAGGCTACGTACGTCTCGTCCACCCACTCCTCTTGGTCCTCTGAGTCCAGGTTCTCCCTGAGGCCCTGGTTCTCCCTCCTCTCCAGGGGTCCCCTTTCCTCCTGGCCCTCCCTTGGGGCCACAGTCTCCTCTGCCTCCCCTGGGCCCTGGACCACCCTTCTCCCCACGGTCTCCCTGAATACACACAGGTTCAGACAGTGTGTTAGGGCGTGTGTCAGTGGAGGCTCCGAGGAGGAGGAAGGGGAGGGCCATCCTACTCAGTGAATTTCAGAAAAATTAAAAGCAATGAAACATTATCATTTTTTAGAATAAACTATACTAAATATATTCAAATATATTCACCAAATACCTGATTTAAAGCACACTGGTCTACAGTAGCCTCAACAGCACTCTCTGGGGGTAGCACCACAGCTAGTTTCCGTCCTCCTCTGGCTACATTGGACTTCAATACAAAACCTAGGAGGCTCGTGGTTCTCACCCCCTTCCATAGACTTACATGGTATTCATGACAACTTCTGGAGGACGTCCTCCAACCAATCAAAGCTTTCGAAGTATGAACAGGTTCATCCAATCAAAGGAACAGAGAATGAACCTAGTACTACATACACCTGTAATTTAGAAGCTTGGTGAGTTGTTGACATTGTTGGATGAGATAGGGAATAGTTTAGCATTTTTATGATGTTATTCAATTCAAATTAGTTCCTTCAAACTACAGGAGGTAGATTATATATTGTTTTCTTGGTTTTAGAACTTTATTTTTGTGTCGAGTTATTGCATTTTATTTCAGTTTGCCTTGCTTAACTTCAGTAGAAAGTAGCTAGCTAGCTACCATAGGGCAGTTAGCTAGAATGGCTAGCTAATGCTAATGACAATGTAGTGGATTAACTGGGTGTTCGGTTGAAGAACCCCTTTCATTGGCCACATCAGATTCAAGCGTCTGGGTGTTCGGTTGAAGAACCCCTTTCATTGGCCACATCAGATTCAAGCTTCTGGGAATAATCTGCATCGATCATGTAATGGACGTAATGGACGAAGCTCTGCGTATTCAAACTGTGCAACACAATGACAAGCAGAAACAGTTTAAAAACAGCTTTTCAAGCAGCTTATGGACACTAGACTATTGCATTTTGGGCAAGAATTGGCTTTTAGGGGACACGATGAGAGGGAAAGTTCAGCTAACAAGGGCAACTACAAGGAATTTTTTGAAGAGGTAATTGCATGCTTTACGATGCTTTACTTGCTGAGCATATGGAGGTTTCTACTGTCTTCTCTGGGATGTCCAAATCAATTCAGGATGATTTGATAGTTTGATAGTTTGATAGTTTGACAGCTTCCATCACATCATCCATTAGTGAGACTTAAAGAAAGGTTGATGCGTTTTTATGGAAGAAACCACAGACATCAGCTCACAATTGTCAGTTATCGTCAGGTATGTGGATAATCAGGGCTTTATTCAGGAACGTTTCTAGAACCGACTGTCCAGACCGAACCGTTGGATCTACAAACTAATATGTCACCGATATCAAAAGGGTAAAACTCTCACGAATACGAAGGTGTCAATTATTCTTCTCAAGGAAGAACACAAGCTCCAGGGGAGTCATCTAAAGGGAACCCCAGTACCTGGCTGTAAAAATGGCTAAAATGTGCATAGGGGTTCAATTGTGGCAAAAATAATGTGGCCAAACATGGGTCTGAAAAAAACGATTTTTCCCCCTAAGTTTTCTTATATCTCCTAGATATAGGACAGACACTTCAAAACGTTTTTCCTTATGATGTATTTTTTTTACTGTCTTTTTTGCCATTTCTGAATGTGTTACTCAGTGCGTTTCTCTGGGCTTTAGCAGTAAAGGCCAGATTCAATGTTTTATCAAATACTTTTTTTCTATATATTTTTTTATACCAACAGGGGTCCTATAATTCCAAATCAAACGACTCAATGATACATTTTATGACCATCTTAAAAACAATTCCATATGTTATCTTTGTAGATATTGCAATCTAAGGGTGTATTTAATAAAAAGTAGGCCTATTGACTTCAAGTTAAAAACGAAGTAGGTTACTGTGTTGTTGCTGATTTCATTGTTTGCTTCATGATTTGTCAAATAAATGTTCCTGTGATTCACACCGGAGTGCTGCAGGTCCTCTGGGTTTCACACCGGAGTGTTGCAGGTTCTCTGTGATTCACACCGGAGTGCTGCAGGTTCTCTGGGTTTCACACCGGAGTGTTGCAGGTTCTCTGTGATTCACACCGGAGTGCTGCAGGTTCTCTGGGTTTCACACCGGAGTGTTGCAGGTTCTCTGTGATTCACACCGGAGTGCTGCAGGTTCTCTGTGATTCACACCGGAGTGCTGCAGGTTCTCTGTGATTCACACCGGAGTGCTGCAGGTTCTCTGTCCTTCACATCAGAGTGCTGCAGGTTCTCTGTCCTTCACATCAGAGTGCTGCAGGCTCTGTGCGTGTCTTGAACAATCAGATTACGGAGATCACAGGTCACGCGGGCCGGGCACAACGCATGTCTAGCAAAGCTCAAAGCACGCTCTCCATTTTCCTCCGATAGGCCTATTTATTTAACACATCACTCCCTACAGACACAAGCAAAAACTCTTTACATGAATGTTGCAGCAGCCTACACCTAAACATTAGAGATCTGACATGCTGTAGCCTATGGAATGAAAACAAGACGATTTGTCAGTCTGATAAAGGCTAGTAACAACAGCAGCATACAGCGCACTACGCTCCCTGTCCCTACGCTCCCTCCCTGTCACTACACTCCCTGTCCCTACGCTCCCTCCCTGTCCCTACGCTCCCTCCCTGTCCCTACGCTCCCTCCCTGTCACTACGCTCCCTGTCCCTACGCTCGCTCCCTGTCCCTACGCTCCCTGTCCCTACGCTCCCTCCCTGTCCCTACGCTCCCTCCCTGTCACTACCCTCCCTGTCACTACGCTCCCTGTCACTACGCTCCCTGTCCCTACGCTCCCTCCCTGTCCCTACGCTCCCTCCCTGTCCCTACGCTCCCTCCCTGTCCCTACGCTCCCTCCCTGTCCCTACGCTCCCTCCCTGTCCCTACGCTCCCTGTCACTACGCTCCCTGCCACTACGCTCCCTGCCTGTCACTACGCTCCCTCCCTGTCCCTACGCTCCGTCCCTACGCTCCTCCTGTCACCTCCCTGTCCCTACGCTCCCTCCCTGTCCCTACGCTCCCTCCCTAGTCCCCCCTCCTACGCCCTCCACCCCTTCCTACGCTCCCTGTCCCTACCTCCCTCCCTGTCCCTACGCTCCCTGTCCCTACGCTCCCTGTCCCTACGCTCCCTCCCTGTCCCTACGCTCCCTGCCTCGTCCGCCTACGCTCCCTCCCTGTCCCTACGCTCCCTGTCCCTACGCTCCCTCCCTGTCCCTACGCTCCCTGTCCCTACGCTCCCTCCCTGTCACTACGCTCCCCTGTCCCTACGCGCTCCCTGTCCCTACGCTCCCTCCCTGTCCCTACGCTCCTCCTGTCCCTACCGCTCCCTCACTACGTCCCTTCACTACGCTCCCTGTCCCTACGCTCCTCCCTGTCCCTACGCTCCTCTCCCTACGCTCCCTCCCCCTGTCCCTACGCTCCCTCCCTGTCACTACCCTCCCTGTCACTACGCTCCCTGTCACTACGCTCCCTGTCCCTACGCTCCCTCCCTGTCCCTACCTCCCTCCCTGTCCCTACGCTCCCTCCCTGTCCCTACGCTCCTCCCTGTCCCTACGCTCCTCCTACCTCCCTGTCCACTACCCTCCCTGTCACTACGCTCCCTGTCCACTACGCTCCCTGTCCCTACGCTCCCTCCCTGTCCCTACGCTCCCTCCCTGTCCCTACGCTCCCTCCCTGTCCCTACGCTCCCTCCCCCCTGTCCACTACGCTCCCTGCCTGTCACTACGCTCCCTCCCTGTCCCTACGCTCCCTGTCCCTACGCTCCCTCCCTGTCCCTACGCTCCCTGTCCCTACGCTCCCTCCCTGTCCCTACGCTCCCTGTCCCTACGCTCCCTCCCTGTCACTACGCTCCCTGTCCCTACGCTCCCCTGTCCCTACGCTCCCTCCCTGTCCCTACGCTCCCTGTCCCTACGCTCCCTCCCTGTCCCTACGCTCCCTGTCCCTACGCTCCCTCCCTGTCCCTACGCTCCCTGCCACTACGCTCCCTGCCTGTCACTACGCTCCCTCCCTGTCCCTACGCTCCCTGTCCCTACGCTCCCTCCCTGTCCCTACGCTCCCTGTCCCTACGCTCCCTCCCTGTCCCTACGCTCCCTGTCCCTACGCTCCCTCCCTGTCCCTACGCTCCCTCCCTGTCCCTACGCTCCCTCCCTGT